AATGATTTGGATTCTTTTTATGATACAATATGCACACACACACATGAATCAAAACACCAGTCACTTCATCATTGCGGTCAGTTTAAATAATTTGTGATTAGACTGTCAAGAATTGGTTGAATCATCAGACTGGTTGCTTAGAACAGAAAAGTACCTGTTTTGACCATTGTAAGTATCACTTGGGAGGGAGTAATTCAATTTTAACTGATTTTCTGTCCTTTAAATGAGCCTCTGAACCATTTGGAGACAACTAAACATTCTCAATATGCAGGCATTATATAGGCAAGTTCAGGAACATTTTACAAATGTCTGGGTGATGGAACGAGAGCCTGTCTGTCCTCTGCTCTGTGCCCTTTGGCATGAATGCAGATAATGTGCAATGGTTGCTACCCCTTCTACCCATGGACAGTCTCTGCTGTGCAAAGCCACTGAGTTACGTAACTCCGGAACACCATTCCCACCCCAGACGGGACGACAACCTGTGTGAGGATGTCAGTCACAATGCATTCCATGAGACTGTGGCCCCTGCAATCGGGCAGTGTAAAGATCCTGCTACCTGGGTTGAAAAAAATGTTGTTTTAGGGTGGGAGAAATAAGGAGTAAGTGAATTGGCAGGGATCAGACCTACCTGATGGTGTGTAGGACAGAGTGGCAGCTTCTGGCTCTGTGGTTGGAGTGGGCCCTGCTGAGTCGTCTGCACCTGATGGTCAAGAGAAACCCACGTGCTAAGGTCTGCAGTGCTATTTGCAAAATAATACTCAGTGACTTCTGAGAATACGAGCTGAGTATGTCTGAAAAGACCCAAAGGCAGTGACATCCTGGGGAGGTCAGCCTCACACCCGTGCAGACGACACCAGAGTCTCATGGATTAGATGAGAGTTCACGAATTATCTGGAGACAAATATTTCTAACATCTCTCAGCAAAACATCAGATGTGTCCATGTCTGTTTGTTCTTGTCTGCAGACTTGTCATGGACATATCCCTTGGACTGTGTGGTGAGAGGTTGTTCACTCTTCTAGCCCTTGAGGAACTCTATCATGGCTTAACAAAATGACTCTCAGAAGGAGAAGTTTACCCAAAGCAGCAACCAAGCACAGCTGGACCAACCTGTGAGCATGTCTGATGGAGGTGCAGCTTCGGGCTCTGCAGTGGGACTGGGGGCCGGAGAACCGTCAGCACCTGGTGGTTGGAAGAGATCAGCACACCAAGTCTATGAGCTGATGTGTAATGTGTTGCTCAGTGGGTTCTGTAGGTGCTGAATGTGACTGTGGTGACATCCTGGGAGGTGACAGCCCCTCACCTGCACAGATGACACCAGCATCCTCCGGATGCCCGCAGTTGAGCCCATCCCAGCCCTTGTGCACACACTGCCCCAGGTGGCTCTCGCTGCCTGTACACTGAACATTGTCGAGCAGGATCTGCCCAGAGCCTGCCCCGAAGTGGGCCCCTGTGGGGGCTGCCAAGGCCTGGCCACACTGCAGCTGGCGGCACACGACGGTGGCCTCGGCCAGGTCCCAGAGGTCATCACACACGGTCCCCCACGTGTCCTGGGCGAGGATCTCCACTCGGCCTGAGCACCTCCCTGCGCCATTCACCAGCCTCACCTCTATCCAGGATCCTGAGGGGACACAAAGCAATGGGAGAATGAGGTACTTGCTGGTCTTCTGGGGTCAGGAGGATTTTCTTCAACTGTTAGGTGATAGGCGCTCTGGTGGTGTAGTGTCTAAGGCATTTGACTTCTAACCAGAAGGAAGATTGGGCAATCTACTTCCATAGAGATACTGCCTTGGAAACCAAGAAGGGGTCACTATGAGTCAGGATCCACTCAATGGCAGTGTTTCGTTTTGGTTTGGTTAGGTAATAGAGGTCATATCCCCATTTTACAGATAAGCAGGCTATCGGTCACACAATCCTCTTGTCAATAAGAACCATTTTAATTTCAAACAGTATTTAGGACTTTCTGTGCTGCTTCTCACTAAATGTTGACTCTCTCTTAAATTCTGTTCCAAAAGATTTCTATAATGACCAAAACCATGCTGAATAAGACCTTGCACTCACCAAGTAGTGAAGAAGTTAGATGAAATGGAGTGTATTTTTATTGCTTTCAATATCACCATCCTTTTATTCAAATAAAACTTACTTGAAACCTACTGTATGCAAGGCCTTGAGATCGTTCTTAGGGTAACAGGAGGGAAAATAGAAGAGGTTCCTGTAACCAAGGGGCTTATAACCTAGAGGAAGGACAAGATCAAGCATGGGCAATGCTGTGGAAGTGCCACAGAGGAGAGATTGAAAATGGGGCCTAGCCCTCTGGGGTCAGTACAATTTCCTGTAAACGCACTGCCATTGAGTCATACCCAACTCATAGCAATACCTCCTTGGGTTTCTGAGGCAGTATCACTCCGGAAGTAGATTGCCCAACCTTCCTTCTGAGGAGTAGCTAGTGGTTTTGAACCACCAGCCTTCTAGTTAGCAGTCAGATGCCTTAGGCACTGTGCTACCAGAGCGCATATGAATATATTGGCTTATGATAACAGCACAGTCCTATGCTGGCTCTTGTTCACGTAATCCTCATCACCCACAATATGAGAACAGGTTTTGTAGCTTTTTTTTCTATTTGTTATCATTGGTAGGACTTTGTCTTCTTCAAGCAAAGCCACTAGAACTGGAAGAAAATATCCCAAGGCAATTTTTAAGAAGTTGTTTCTTGATGACTGGATAATGTCCATAGAGGAAATACGCCTTATGGAAATGTCAGTTTAGCCATGAGAAGCCCCATTAATAACGAAAAGCCGTTTCAAGTGGAAATGACAAACTAATTATGAAAACGAGACACCCGTTTCTCCAGGTGGATGGCTAGTCTTGGTTGGAGCATGTGAGCAAGGGACCCCATTTCAGAGGGGACAGTTGGGCTCCTCGTGTGAAAGATAGGATCCCTCTACTCCAAAGCCAGGTCCTGACTCCACCTTTTGTTAAAAGTGTACATCAGTTTCCTCAGCTGTACAACAGACATAACATCCCCCCAGGCTATGAGATGATATTGTGAAGATTATATTAGATAATACTTGAGGAAATAGTCCAAGAATGGTTACACAGAGAATTTATGTGCTAATGAGAAGGTGACAGAGGCCTGGGTAAAGTTGAGGAGATCAATTTGGACCAAATGAAGCAGTAGGAGGAAAAATGGGAAATCTAAATTAACAGTCAATGTTTTATCTTTTATATTTTTTATGAAGAAAAATTCTCTGTTGTTGATAACCTAATAAAATACTCAACATTTCCCTATATTTTCTCAAATGATCTTAGCATGAGCAGTTAATCCTTGTTAATATCTTTCTTCTCCAAAGTCACTTTGGTTTGTCTCCAGCACAGATACAGTGAAGCCAACATGGCCCTTGTAGTCAGACAGTTCTGATGACAGGTCAGAGTTGACTGACTCTAGGCATTTGACCAGTGTCATCTATTTATCTTTCTTCTCTAAATCTCTATCTGCACATTTGTGAAATGTTGGAAATCATACCTTCCTGTACACTTGTATGGCCAAGAAAACCCCATGGAAGTCAGCTCTACTCTGTAACACACAGAAATGTAGCACCTGAGTCAGAATCAACTTGAGGGCAATGTGTTTGATTTTGGTTTGGGGCATCCATCCTTACTATGGAGTACCAGTATTGTGGAAGCCTTCACTCTGTGCATGGCCCGTGGTAGACACACAGAAAATACCAAGCACAACCCTAGCCACATGACAGTGAGACCTCACCTGCTGGCGAGAGTGTGGGGCGAAGGCTGGGAGGTGCTGCTGTGGAAACAGGTGCAAACGGGAATGCCACTCACAACCAGGAGTCTCTAAGACCCACATCAGAAAAGACTGTGTTTGCAATGAGAACATTCTGAAGGGTCGTGCTCAAATATATCACAGCCTGTCCATCTGTTTCTACCCCCCCCCGCCCCCAACAAGGTTTTAAACAGTGAAGACGTCACTCCCCCATTCCCTAAGCTTGGTTATTCAGGCTTAGCACGCAGCTGTTAGCACAGTCCCCTTGGCCTGCAGTCCCAGTTCCCTGAATGCCACAGGCCCATTTGGGATCTCTGTTGCCACATCCCTTCTCTCCCTCTCAGGACACAGCCAGCTGTGAGGAATCATGTGGACGTGACACCCAGATATGCGAGTGGACGGTCCAGGTCCTCCGCACATGCGCGGAAGGTTTATCTAGACTGTGTGTTACCTCTGCAGCAGGACACAGGCAGAGCACTTTAAGCAGTTCTTTTCCCTTATTTTCCCATAAAACATCAACCCAAACACTCTTACTGCCATACCATTAGGGGGCAGCTTGACCAAATCAGTGCTTAGAGTGTCAAGTGTCAAATAGCAATTAATCCAGAAAGGTCCCCCCACCAACCCCCGCTCTCTCTTTTTTCTTTTATAGCTTTATGCCACTACCTTGGTTGTTTGCTTATTTTTGTTGTGGTAAATATGTACGTAACAAAACATTTGCCATTTCAACAATCTGCACAGGTGCAATTCCTTAACGTTAATTATGTTTATCGCGTTCGACCATCACCATTATGTTTCCAAATTTTTCTATCACCTTAACGGCAGCTCTGTGTCCCCTAAGCACTGAGCGCCCTTTCCCTGCTCCCTGCCCGCCTCTAATCAATTTTGAGCTCTGCTCTTTGGCCTACTCTAGGTATTTCCTCTAAGTGGGATCATAAACCATTTGTCTTTTGTGACTGTCTCGTTTCACTCAACATAGTATTTTCAAGGTGGGTCTGTGTGGCAGCATGCATAGGGACTTCATTTCTCTTTACAGGTGAGTCATGTTGAAACCGTCTTGTTTTTTTCTGTTCAGAACTGATTTGTGACTTCACTTTTTAGTTGGGAACATGGTACTGTGGGGAACAGAACTTGAGGGTCAATAATGATCTGCACATGCCGTGGCTGCTGCCCCTGACCTTGAGCCTGACCCAGGTTAGACTCGGAAGGGATAATGTCTGCACAGTGAGCCCCACCCCAGCCCCTCTGCACCTCCTTCTGGGTGTCCCTCCTGGACTCCATGGTCACCAACTAAGGGAGCTCGCCCCCTGGCGTCTGGTAGGTGTACAAACATACCAAGCCATTGTTGTTTCATAACATCATTGAACTCCTGTGTTGGATTCTATAATGCCAGTTCTGGTAGCATAGTGCCTAAGGCACCTGACTGCTAATCAGAAGGCTGGCGGTTCAAACCCACCAGCCACTCCTCGGAAGGAAGGTTGGGCAATCTACTTCCATAGTGATACTGCCTTGGCAAGGAGAGGTCTCTTTGAGTCGGGGCCGACTCGACAGCGCATAACAACAACAACAACCACATAACGATGGTGCAAGGCCTGTTGATTTCCACATCTAAGTCATTGGTAGGTGCTGTCCAGTCAGCCCTGGCTCATAGAGACCCAATGTGCAACCGAACGAAACATTGCCTGGTCCTGCGTCATCTCCACGGTCGTACTTGGAGACCGGACGGTTGTGCTCTACAGGGCTCTCATTGGCTGAGTTTTGGAAGTAAATTTCCAGGCCTTTCTTCCTAGTTCTTCTTAGTCTGAAAGCTCCAAGGAAACTTGTTTAGTATCATTAAAAAAAAAAAAAAAAATGCACTGCCTTGGAATCGGATCTGACTCATAGTGACCCCATCCCTCCTAGGGTTTCTGAGGCAATATCACTACAGTAGATTGCCCAACCTTCCTTCCGAGGAGTGGCTGTGGGTTTGAACCGCCAGCCTCCTGGTTAGCAGTCAAATGCCTTAGGCACTACGCCACACAAAAGCCTCTGCTGACAGATGAGGAGTGGCTACACTTGAGGCTGGAGATCAGACTTCTTATTCACGGGAGTGACGATTCTACCACAGAACCACTCCTGCCCCTTAGGGATCTGTTGCCCTTCATATATCCATAGGGAATCTTTTTGGACTCTTTTTAATTGATTCAGTGTCAACTGACTGAACTCATGAATCAGCAGGATATGACTTGAATGTCCCAACAGTAACTGCCAGCAGACAGAGGAAGCAATTTCTCTAGAATTTCAGGTGATGGGATAAACGTCTTGTTTTGAACAATTCCCTACCCTTTTAATTCTTATCAACAGTCCTTCCATAGCAGCGACTGGGCTAGCTCTGTTATCCCTAAGGATTTCTGCTATAGATTGAGACAGTGTCTCCCTTAGGGTAATGGAACTCAAAGCAAATGTAGCAAGCAGAGATGACTTACCTGCAGATGTGTGTCTCCCGGAAGCCGCTTCAGACCCCTGAATGGGGTCAGGGGTTGGTGGGTCAGCACCTGAGGGTTGAAATACATCCACGTGGTAAATCTACAGTGCTCATTATAACAAACTGCTTAATGACTGTGTGACCACAGGCCGAATATGGCTGAAGGGGCAAGAAGGAAGTGACATTCTGAGAGGCTGCAGCCCCTCCCCTGCACAGATGAGGCTGAGCAGCGGAGAAGCCCTGCTGCCACAGGTAAAAAAAGAACGTTATGGGGACGAGAAGGTACAAAGTCAGTAACCAAGAAAACACTGGACCCACCTGGTAGGGGGTAGGACGGGCTGGCAGCTGCTGGCTCCATGGTAGGAGTGGGGTCTGCTGAGTCGTCAGCACCTGATGGTTAAGAGAGATCAATGTGCCAAGGTCTACAGTGCTGTCTGCAAGTAAGCTATTGAGTATTGTCTGAAGGGAAAGAAAGAAGTGATCTCTTATTAAGGTGACAGCCCCTCACCTGCACAGATGACACTGGCGTCCTCCAGGTGCCCACAGTTGAGCCCAGCCTGGCTCGTGTGCACGCACTGTCCCAGGTGGCTCTCACTGCCTGCACACTGCATGTCATCCAGCAGGATCCACCCTGAGCCAGCCCCAAAATGGGCCCCTGTGGGGGCCGCCACAGCCTGGCCACACTGCAGCTGGTGGCACACAACAGTGGCCTCGGCCAGGTCCCAGAGGTCGTCACACACAGTTCCCCACGTGCCCTGGGCGAGGAGCTCCACGCGGCCTGAGCACCTCCCTGTGCCGTTCACCAGCCTCACCTCCAGCCAGGCCCCTGGGGAGACACAGAGGAGAGACCCTGCGTCTGGCCCTCCATTCTCTGGGAGGTTTGCTACATCCGTTCACTAGGATTGCTAGGTGGGCACGTCCCCACTCATAGACATGCAAGATCATGCAATCTTCATGTTCCTGCATATCAAGAATATCCTGAATACCCCTCAAGGAATTTGACTGCTAACCAGAAGGCTGGCCGTTCAAACCCACCAGCCACTCCTCGGAAGGAAGGTTGGGCAATCTACTTCCATAGTGATACCACCTCAGAAACCCACGGAGGGGTAGCTATGAGTTGGATCCGACTCGAGGGCAGTGAGTTTTTGTTGTTGTTGTTGTTTTCACATGATAATAGGACTTTGCTACATTTCACTTCCAAAAGGTGAAACTCTAAGAAATCTTTACAATTTCTAAAAGGTTCTCCTAACAAAGCCATTTTATCCATATGTTAGCCTCTGCCATGGACCTAGAAATAGAAATATGAGGAGTGTATATATTTAACAAGATGGTTAACTAGACCATAGGCGGATCATGGCTAAATAGACCCCTTGTCATCAAGAACCATGGTAGCCTAAGAGCAACTCGGTCCTTTGGCTCCCTAAATTTTTTTCTATGGCTTTACCATGCAAAGGAGCCTGAGGACAGGAACCTATTTGTTGTTTGTGAGTTAAGAGCCAGAGCCTCAGAAGGCCACTAACTTAAATGTCATTGTCTTAGTCTTTACAACACCCCCATATGGTATGGGGTTGGTTGCCATTTAATAGATGAAGAACTTAAGACTGGGAAAGGTTAAGAGAATTGTCCTAAACCCCACAGCTTGGAAGAGGTGCTGTCTCCTACATTCGCTTTACCTGTGGTGTCCTGCCAGCTTTAGAAATGTCTTTCTAACTCTGTCCATCCCTAAATTCCCTCAGGAAGTGCTTTCCATACCTGCTGGTGGAAGAGTCAAGGCCTCAGGGGCTGTGGTCAGTGAAGGCTCGGAGAAGGCATCAACTATAAGGAACAAGAAAGCAGGGCCACCATCAGTCAGCAGGCGAGAGAGAGGAAAAAGTAAACACAATTCAGGCCCAATGCCCTTCTTATGGGTTTTGTTGTACTTCATCTAAGTAAGTCACCATCAAACACCCACATTTGACTTTTTATTCATCCATTACATTTAACGGTAAGCTTATCCTTGGCTCCTTTTCTCAGTAGAAATAAATCTTAAAAATAGAAGACAAACTTAAGGACCCTACACTTAAGGAAAGCTAAAAGAAAGAAAAGCAACCTCAACAAATTAATAATACTAGGCTCCATCCATTCAGTTGGAAATAGCCACTCACCGGGAAGAAAGTCAGATAGGGTGACAGTGTTTAAAAGGCTTACAACACAGTCAGAAGCTTGGACAAGTGTTTGAGTCACAGTGACAGGAGGTGGACTAAGGGATGTCAACATGAAGGGGCCAGAGGTAGAGGTGTGTCTCCTCGTGGTGCCCGGGGAAAGCTCTCTGCAGAAATGGAGGCTTAGCGCTGTGGTAGGACTTGTACAGGAGGAAGAGGAGCATGCAGGCATTCAAGGACATCTCCCTTGGGTTTAGAGACTCAGGGAGGTGAGATAAGACACATCTTAATTCGACTAGTATGCCTTGAACTGTCCATGGTAGCATATGCATTAATCCCAAATGCTGGGATTACAGTATTTTCCTTATTTACATTATGCTGAACTCTCTCAGAGATGGGACATGAAGGAAAGGGGGTTTGGGCTGAGTGTATTTCAGAAGGAGGTTGTGACTCCCAGTAAAGATTTTACAGGATGAATGTATGTGATAGACTCGTAGACGCCCTGTAGTAAAGGAACCTGCGTCATTGTTTAATCCTGACCAAAAGATCCAGTTACCACCGAGCCGATTCCAACTCATGACAACCTTGTCTGGGTCAGAGGAGAGCTATGATGCTCCACAGAGCTTCTAGGACTGATTTTATGGAGGTAGATCACCAGGTCTTTCTTCTGAGGGACCTCTGGGTAGACGTGAGCTTTTCAGTTAGTGGCCGAGCACCTCAGCCATTGTACCACCCGGGGACTCATTTGTTTAATCCAGCGTTTCCTAGACTCACAAGACTGTGGAACTTCTGTGTGTGTGTGTGTGTGTGTGTGTGCACAGCTCACCTTAACATCCTGTCGCATTAGTAGTTCTGAGACCACGTTCCCACAATCATCTTTATGTAACTGCTCAAGGATCTTGGTAGGCCCGGGGTCTCGTAACAATGTTTGTTATTCAATTTTCCTTTTTGTTCTTATTTCTAGAAATATGAACTATCTTGTAAACTTGAGTAAATAGGTAGACTACACAGTTTCAATGTAAAGTTGTTGTTGTTGTTATGTGCTGTCGAGTTGGCCCTGCCTCATAACGACCCCTCCTTGGGTTTCCAAGGCAATATCGCTATGGAAGTATATTGTCCAACCTTCCTTCCAAGGAGTGGCTTCTGGTTAGTGGTCAAGTGCCTTAAGCACTACACTACCAGAGCTCCTAATGTAAACTTAGAAAGGTGTATTTTCATGGCCTGTTTGTGTTTGGTCTTCGAGAAGTGGTGGGTACAATTATCTTAGCAGCAACAGAGATAAAGAAAACATGGGTTAGGGATGAGCCATCACTTCCGACAGACAAAACTAAAGCTGGGTAAAGGGACCTCTGGTACCCCAAATTGATCCCTAGTGTTCCTTTGTGAGTTGTAGTATAAGAAACCCCTTGTAAAGGGTTACTGAGTGTCCAGCCTGAAGCATGATAGTTCTAACTTGAGATTTAATTCTTATTCTAACACTTATTACAGATGGACTTTAGCTTCCTGGTCTGTAAAACTAGGACTCTGTCTTGATAACATGTAAGCCAAGAATTGAAAAAATTAAAAAAAATTGTCCTAATTCCCCAATTCAATGGATATTTCATCATTTTATAGGAAAAAATTAATTTATTAGCAACAAAAAATTGGATATTGCAATTTAAATTTTTGAAAATACATTTTTTAAAAAGTCCAAAAACCATGAAATTCTTAGGGGTGAGTCTAATAAAATAGATGCAAAGTTTGCACACAGAAAAATACAGACCATTGAAGAGACATACTTTGTTGACGGGTCAGGAACTTTAGTGTGGTAAAGATCTCTAGTGGCTATAGATAAAAAGCTATCCCAATTGAAAACCTCAGTGTGTGTTTCTATAGAAATTGACAAGCTGATTCTAAAATTGATATGAATGGCAAAGAACCTAGATTAGCCAAGGCAACTTTGAAAAAGAAGAAAAAATGTTGGAGACTCACACTACCCAATTTCAAGGTTTACTCTACAGCTACAGTAATCAAGATATTGTGCTGTTGGCATGAAGACAGTCATGTAAATTAAAGGAACAAAAAGGGAGTTGAGAAACAGTCCTATCCCTATGTGCTTATTTAATTCTTGACAAAAGTGCTGAGATGTTTCAGTGGCCATCAGGGTGTATTTTCAACAGATGGTTTGGTGCAATTAAACATCTACATGGAAAAATAAAGACCCTTGACTCATACTAGAACACATGTACAAATATCAACTAAAATGGATCACAGAGACAAATGTAAACCTTAAAGCTATGAAGCTTCTTGAAGGAAACAGGAGAAAACCAGCAAGACCTTTGATTAAGCAGACTTTTAGATAGAACTCAAAAGCGTAGACCATTAAAAAAAAAAAAAAAAAAACTTAGTAAACTTGACTTATTGAAATGAAAGTTTCTAATCTTCAAAACACACTGCTAGGAAAATGAAAGGACAAGTCACAGAATGGGAGAAAACATTTGCAAAACACACATTTGATAAAGAACTTGTATCCAGAACATATAAAGAATTATCTTACAACTCAATAAAAAGAGGACAGACAACCCAGTTTAAAGAATTGATCAAAGACTTGAACAGGTATTTCACCAAAGAAGAGATGCAAATGAGCACATGAAACAAGGCTCAACATCCCTAGTGGTGGTTGTTGTGGCATCGAGTCGATTCCGACTCAGCAACCCTGTGTGACAGAATGGCTACTACAACTATGAAGAGACACAACTACACGCCCAGTATAATGCCCCAAATAAAAAAAAAAAAAAGACAATCCAAAATGTGGGCAGGGATGCAGGGCAAGCATACCTCCCATCCTTTGTTGGTGGCAATGCAAAATGGTATGGCCACTGTGGAAAATAGTTTTCAAACGATATGTGAATGTTTGTAACAGTTTTATTGAAATGGTCAAAACTGGAAGGAAACTCAATATATATCAAGTGGTGAATGAACAAAGAAACTTAGGCACATCAATATAGTGTAATACTACTCAGTAATAAAAAGGAATGAATTACTGGTATATGCAACTATATGGATGCATCTCAAAATCATTATGATAAGAAGAGAAGCCCAAACAAAAGACTACATATTACCATATTACACTACATAATATTCTGGAAAAGGCAAACCTATAGGAACCTGTAGAAATCATATCAGTGGTTGCCAACATCTAGGAACTGGGAGAGGGAATTAACTACAAGAAATCTTTTTAAGGTAATGAAAATGTTACAACTCTTTGTTAAAACTCAACAAACTACATGGTGAATTTTACTGTAGATAAATTACACCTTAGTAAACATGATTTTTTAAAAAAGTTTTGGCTGAATGTAAACAGTGGACTAGAATGTTGGGAGCCCGTCAGAAAGGAAGCCAGGCAGAAGAAGTGTTGGCCATCCAAGTAGGAAGAGGTGATGAGGGCTTAGAGCAGACATGGACTTTCAGATGCTGAGGAGGCCATGAACAAAACCCCAGTCTCCCAGCTGTCAATGGAAAATTAATTCAGCCAAGGTGACCTGTCTATTTGGATAATACTAGACATCCAGATGTTTGCAGATATCTTAATGGCTTATTTAAATATTCTTTTTTGGATGCTTAGCTCTGTATATACATAACCATAAAAACACATAAACTAAAAACAACCAGGCGAGTGACTCACAAATCTCAACTTACTAGATTGACTAGTTTTTGCTGATAATAGTAGTGGTGATGGTAATGCTGCTGCTGCTGATAATGATGGCACTGATGATGACGACAATGCTGATGGAGAAGATGATGATGAAGAGGATGGAGACGATGAGGATGATGAAGATGATAAAGATGAGGAGGAGGATGGCAATGATGATGACAATGATGAAGATGATCTTGATGATGGTATTGATGACAATGAGGATGATGATGACAGTGACGATGGAGAAGAAGATGATGATGATGATAAAGAGGATGGGGATGACGAGGATGAGGAGGATGGCAATGACGATGATGATGAAGATGACATCAATGATGATGGCAATGATGATGAAGACATTGATGAGGATGATGACAGTGATGATGATGACAGTGATGATGGAGAAGATGATGATGATGAAGAGGAGGAGGAGGATGGCAGTGATGATGATGATGATGACAGAGATGACAATGGCAATGATGATGTTGATGATGATGAAGACATTGATGAGGATGATGATGACAGTGATGATGATGACGGTGATGATGGAGAAGATGATGATGAAGAGGATGGAGATGAAGAGGAGGAGGAGGATGGCAGTGATGAAGATGACACTGATGATGAGGAGGATAATGATGATGGAGAGGATGATAACTCTGCTTCTGTTCATTAGGGTAATAAAGATTCCTGCTCTGGGGCTCTGCTTTAACACAGCAGTGCTCAAAATGTGTTCCCTGTTGTTGTTGTTGTTAAGTGCCGTCGAGTCGTTTCCGACTCATAGTGACCCCATGCACAGCAGA